GAAGGATTGTTAGTTATTGTTACTCCTGGTTAAGTGCAAGGGCCCTGCAGTTCACCTTCTGCTCAGGAACATCTAGTCTGAATACCACCAACCAGGGCCCACATTCCGGCAATAGCTACAGCTCCTCTGCATCCTGGTCTGGGCTGGTCAACTCACAGACATTTACTGACCATCTGTGTACAAGGCAGCTGTGGGAGAGTGTCTCCTTTAAGCAACTCGGTTTGATCGTGGAGGTTAAATTTTAGACATAGGCAATTAGCTACTGGCCCAGAGCCATGCTGCAAGGCCCACAAGACAGTCCCAGGGCTGTGGGGTTTCAGCGGGACGTAGTGCTCCCAGAGCCTGGTGGCAGGAAAGAAGGGGGTGGTGCCTGTACTTAAATGGGAGGGTTTGGAAAGGCACAAATGACACTAACAACCCCTTCATCGAGCACTTGTGCTCCAAGCCTTGTTTAGTAGCTTTACAGGTAACCATCTCATCAGCCCTCACATTTTTCTGGGTAAGTGTTATCACTATTTATAGAGATAGGAAACTGAGCTCAGAAGGGTTTAAAGACCTGCCTGGCGCCAGCTGGAGAGGACCTCAGAAACCATCTAGTCCAGTGGTTTCAAGCTGTTTTAAGAGCCCTGATCCCATGCCTGCTTCATCCCGAGCTGCCTAGCACGGAACACATCAATTTCTGTGACCTATTCCACTTGCAAAGGGCTTTAAAAGAGAAGATCACTGATCTAATCCAATATCCAGTTATATTTATGAAGAAAACAAGGCCCAGAGCAGGGAAATGGTTCTTAGTCAGCCAGCTGGCTAATGGCAGAGAGAGGACCAACATCCAGGTTCCAACTTCCAAGTAGGGATTCTTAGGTCAGATTGCATTGACATTGGGAAAGTAGACTGAGGCCCATTGCAGGGCCTCCCACTCTCTTGCTCTCTGGCTTTGGCAGACAACACCTCACAGCCAGAAGTAAAAGGTCCGGTCATCTTTAGTGTCACTGTTCTTTTGGACAGGGTACCAAGGACACATTGCCACTATCATAGTCCCTTTTGATGCCACTCAGAAGCCTTATATGTGGTTTACTCTGCCCAACCCTGGGACTGCTGTGCTGATTGTGCCTTGGGGGCCTGACAGGTCAGGACACACAGGCCAGAGGATAACCGGAGTTGAACAGAAAGACTGGAAGGACGGAGGGGAGGGGTGGTGTCAGACCTAGTGGAAAACTCTCACCATCACCCCAGCAGTAACAAGACTGCTCCTGAAAAATACAATAACCAAAATTAAATCTCAGTGGATGGCTCAGCAGCAGAATAAAAAGAATCCACAAAATTAGAATAGAAATTACCCAATCTCAACAACAGAGAGAAAATCTTTTTTTCTTTTCTATTTTTAGTTGCCTTTTTTCAGAGAAAGAAAATAGATCATAAAAAAATGAAGAGAGTCTTAGGGACCTATGAGACTATAACAAAAGATCAAACTTTTTTGTCAGCAGAGTACCAGAAGAAGAGAGGGTGGGGCTGAAAAAGTACTACACGAAATAATGGCTGCAAACTTCTCAAATTTGCAAGACATAAACCTACAGATTCAAGAAGCTAAGCACACCCAAACCAGATAAGTCAAAAGAAATCCATGCCAAGATACATCATAATTAAATTTCTGAAAATGTAAGACAAAAAACAATCTTGAAAGCAATGAGAGAAAAATGATACCTTACCTATAGGGGAGAAGTAATTTGAATGACAGTAGATTTCTCAGCAGAATGTGGAGGCCAAAAGGATGTAGTACAATAGTTTTCAGGTGCTTAAAGAATTGTGAACCCAGAATTCCATACCCTGTGAAAATATTCTTCAGGAATAAAAAAGAATCAAGACATTCTCAGATGAAAGAAAACTAAGGGATTAGTCACCAGCAGACCTGCCCTAAAAAGAATAGTAGAAAGTTTTCTAAATAGAAAGGAAATGATAAAAGAAGCAACTTTAGAACATCAGAAAAGATGAATGAACATTAAGCAAAAACAATAAATACAAGAGACTTTCCTTCTCTTCTTGAGTCTTCTAAATTATATATGATGAAGCAAAAATTATAACAGTCTAATGTGTTTCTAAATATATGTAGAAGAATTATTTAAAACAATTATCTTTTAAATGGAGGGTAAAGGACTATGGCCATGCCACCCTGAATGTGCCCGATCTTGTCTGATCTCAGAAGCTAGGCAGGGTCGGGCCTGGTTAGTACTTGAAGACCACCTAGGAATACCAGGTGCTGTAGGCATTAAAAATAAATAAATAAAAGTTAAATTAAATTTTAAAAGGTAAATAAAGGAGGGTAAAAGATATAAATGGAGGTAAAGGGAGGTAAGATTTCTATACTTTACTCAAACCGGTAGACTACGGCAAGTTATGTATATATGTAATATATACATAGAGCAAACACTAAAAATGTTATGCAAGGAGATAAACTCAAAAACACTATCATAAATCAAAATGGAATTTTAAACATTTTTCAAGTAACTCACAGGAAAATAAGAAACAAAAATGAAAAAGGAATAAGTAAAAAATATTATTAAATGGCAGACTTAAGCCCTAACATATCATAATTACACTACATTTAAATGGTCTAAAAACAAAAGCTTGGCAGAGTAGATTTAAAAACATGAACCAACTATATGCTATCTATAAGAAAACTGCCTCAAATAATAATATAGGATGGTTAAAAGTAAAAAGAGAGAAAAAGATGCAAACATCAAAGGGAAGCATGAGTGACCATATTAAAATCTCATAAAGTAGGCTTCAGAACAAAGAAAATGACGAGAAAGCAGGCATTATATAATGATAATAGTGTCAATGCACCAAAAAAGCATAATCCTAAATGTGTATGCACCAAACAACACAGCTATAAAATATTTGAAGCAAAAACTGAACTGAAAAGAGAAACAGACAAATCCACAGTGCTATGGGCTGAATTATGTCCCTGCAAAATTCCTGTGTTGAAGCCCCAACTCCCAATATGACTGTATTTGGAGATAGGGCTTTTGGAGGTAATTAAGGTTTAAGGGAGTCAAAATGGTGAGATCCTAATCCAATAAGGTTGCTGATCTTACAAGAAGAGGAAGAGAAAGAATCTTCTCTCTTTCTCTCTCCAGACACAGGTACCAAGGAAGGGCCACATGAGGACATAGCAAAGAAAGCAACTGTCCTCAAACCAGGAAGAGTACTTGTCAGAGACTGACTTGCCAGACTTTGATCTGGGACTCTCCAGCCTCCAAAACAGAGAGAAATACATTTCTATGGTGAATTGTTACAGCAGTCTGAGCAGACTAATATAACAAATATAGTTGGAGACTTCAACTCAGTTGGAGACTTTGTTGATAGAACAACTACAGAGAAAATCAGCAAGGATATAGAAGAACTCACTACCATCAACCAAAAGGATCTCTTTGGCTTTTATAGAACATTTTTGGCAACAATAGCAGAATACACATTTTTTTTTCAACTGCCCATGGAACATATACCAAAATAGATCATATCTTGAGCCATAAAACAAACCTCGACAAAATTAAAATTACATTTAAGAATTAAAATCATATACAATGTGTTTTTGAACCACAATAGAATCAAAGTAGAAATCAATAACAGATAACAGGAAATTCTCTAAACACTGGGAAATAAACAACACACTTCAAAACAATCCATGAGTCAAAGAGAATGTCTTGAGGGAAATCAAAATATACATTAAATTGAATGAAAATGAAAATACAACATATAAAATTTTGTGGGACAAGGTAAAGTAGTGCTGAGAGGGAAATTCATAGTACTAAAATGCATTCATTGGAAAAGAGGAAAAATCCTAAATCAATAATCTATGCTTCTACCCTCAAGAACCTCAAAATAGAAGAGCAAAATAAACCCAAAGCAAGGAGAAAGAAGGAAATAATAAAGATAAAAGGAGAAATCAATGAAAATGGAAAATATCAATGAAACTAAGAACTTGTTATATATAATGATCAATAAAACTTACAACCCTGTGGCCAAACTGACAAAGAAAAAAAGAGAGAGAGAAGGCACAGATACCAATATCAAGAATGAAGAAACGGCTACCACCACAGAGACTGTAGACATCAAAAGGATAGTAGGAGAATACTATGTACAACTCTACCCACATAAATTTGACAACTTAGACAAAATAGACCAATTACTCGGAAAAAAAAAGTATACACACACACACACACATATACACAACATACATACACACACACTACCACAACTTACCCTGTGTGAAGGAGATAATTTTAGTAGCACTATGAATATTAAATCCACAATTTAAAAAATAAAAATCTCTAAATGCAGATGATTTCATTGGAGAATTCTACCAAATGTTTAAAGAAAAATTAACACCAATTCTACACAATCTGTCCCAGAAAACAAGAGGAACACTTACTAATTCATTCTGTGAGCTAGTATCACCCCGATGCCAAGACCAACAAAGAAAATGCAAAAAATGGGAACCACATAACAATACCCCTCATAAATAAAGGCAATTAAAATCTTTAACAAAATATTAGCCAACAGAGTTAAGAATTACATTAAAAGAATTACACATCATTCCAGGGATACAAGGTCAGTTAATTTTTGAAAATCAATCCATGTAATTCAACGTATTAACAAGCTAAAGAAGAAAAATCACATTATTTTATCAATTAATGCAGAAAACAAGTTGACGAAATTCAACACCCATTCATGATTTTTAAAACTCTCAGAAAACTGGAAATAGAGGTGAATAATAGCTCCCTAAAAGTATCCAGGTTCTAATCAATAGAACTTATGAATGTTACCTTACATGGCA